GCTGAGAAAATGGTATTTCCCACCCTCCAGCTGCTTGTTCCTGTCCCCAAACTACCTCTTGTCTTATGCCAGAACAAGTTTTTTTGCATCCATTTGGTACAAAAAATAACCTATTTTTCATCCTGATCTGTTCAAATGTGTGACAGTATAAACTGCTGCAGAGAACAGTGCAGCCATGGATGGAGTATGTTTGTTTAACTGGCAGCGCCAACCAAGCAGCACATAAAGCACTAGAAAACACAGCAGTGGGCTGAAGTACTGATGGACAGATATTGCCTGAAAGTGGCATGATACGACCAAAACTGAACTTACTGGGTTAATTCTCAGAGATTGCTGTCAGAAAATGAAAGGGGGGTGTGTGTTGATTTCTAGACTCATCAAAAAGTAAATTAATGATAGCACTACAGAGGTGTGCTTTACCATAAGATACAGATCACATGTAGTAGTAAATGCTAGGCTTCAGTGAGACTAATGTATATTAAGGGACGCTACTGATGCCCACACCAAGCTTAACTGGTCTGGCTGAAGCAGAGAATATGTTCTACCTCCTTTTCTCCATGCTTTCCACTTTAAATCAGCATCTGTGGCATTCTTAATGTCCCCCCTTCATCCAAGAAATTCTGTTGGGTTTCACAGATGACAAACATAAATTAATAATAACTTATTATATTAATAATAACCGCCTTATCCTGAAAATGGGCAATTTCCATAGCGTGCACTATCACAACATGCCACTAGATGGTGCAACAGGATTCTGTCTGCACAGTTCTGCAGGCTCCCCCCCCCCTCCCCCCAGCACTCCCAGGTAAAGTCCTTCCAGTAACCAACTAAATTAATTCTGGCTGAAGATTCATAAGTCTACAGTGTAATTAAGAATTTTTATTCCAAGTGCATAGTGTAATTTAGAATTTTTATTCCAAGTGCATACATCATATTCTTTGTTCTTTACAGTTAATTGTTATGTTCCAGAACTCTGTCTTCAGCGATGACTTTCCAAGGTGTATTTACAGAACAAGGCACGTATCAGCATACTGTACAGGGTAGATCCCACAGTTACCTAGTTAACACCTACAAAGTGATGAGCTATGAAAATTAAGCCACAGGATTCGTTTGTAGACTGTGATCCCCTGTGGAAATCACACTGCATGGGAGGCAAGAGCAGCTATGAGAAACTTCTGCTCTGAAGCATCCTCCAGAGGAGCTACCACCTCTCTGGAAAGGGCTGCACTCCCTCTTGCCCTTTGGAAACATACACAGAAATGCGGGGGGTAGGGGACATGACTGCCTGCCTCCAGTGGCTTCCACGGGGATGAAGGAGAATAACAAGAACTTTTACACATGCAGCAGTAGAAAATTAAAATTCAAGGCAGCAAGGGTACTAATAAGTAACGTAATAGTTCAGAAGTAACTAAGCTGCTACGAGTAAATGAAATAAAGGCAGTGTAAAATGCCCAGAATTTATTTTAAAAATTTTGATACAGTGTCTCAAAAGATCTAACTTGTATTAACCACAGAACTTAAAACCTGCTTGGATATGATAAATGAATGGCACAAGCAGTAAAAAATGTCTCAAGGACTTTTAGCAAAAGACAACATTAAACAGTGATTTCCAGTCTTGGAGAAAAGGCAAAGGGGTGCCACAGAAATCAGGGAAAAGGAACAATATAACTTAGCATTGTCATTAGAGAGCCAAAAGAGAAATAAATGGAATAATATATATACTAATAGGTCTAAAGAGGAAAGATTTAAAACATCAGAGTGCAAATAAAAAGCAAATAAAATTATGCAAAGATACTAGAAAACAGACAGCTAACAAAATGGACAGAAAAATGCAGCCTATTACATCACAAGAAACTACCTGTAGACAGCTATTTGGCAGGTGAGTTTAATTTAATTGAGGAGGAAGAAAAGCACTTTCCCCACCTGGAGTTTCCAAAGTTACGGCAGACTCACTGAATAGACTGTATTGTGGGCAGAGCGGTCCTGTGCAATAGTGTCTCCCCTGCCAGATAAGTATTAACTTAATCATCCACTCTTGCTTTATCTATAAACACAGAGCTCAGGACTTCCCTGGACTAATCCTTGTTTGGACTGTGTAGGGGATTAGGATGGGAAAAGAACATCATGAATCATCAAGTTTTTTTCCACTGCTGTCACAAGCAACAATATCACAACTGCTCTGAACTCCCCCTTAAAACAACCTCCAGTGCTTGCGTTCTGTTGGAAGACATTTCCAGAATCTCATACTTACACTTTATGTTCAGCAAAAATTATGTTCTTTGATTATATGCAGTGATTCCTGTAGTAAAACTGTCTTTTAGTATGAATCTCTGCCTTCCCTGCATCTATTCCTTGGTGTACTTCAAGCCAGCAGTAAAACCTTCAGTTACCCCTCATTTTGCTAAGCTAAACCACCCAAGTTCTTTCAGTCTGAGAAAATGAGCTCTCCGTGACCCTTAATCATCCAGGTAGTTTGAATTAATCTTCTGCATTAGTAAATGAGACTGCTGCACAATGCTCCAGAAGAAGCTCACTCGCTCCTTGCACAGGGGCACTAGTGCTTTGCTGTCTCTGTTGAAGACATGCCTCCCCAGGGCAGCCGGCAATCCCACTGGTCCCTCCCACAGCCTCCTCAGACACCATGAGACCAGCTATATAAACCTCACAGTTTTGTCCTCCTTTTTATTTTCCAAAGAATGGGACTCAGAATACTGAGAATTTTTTTTTTTTCACTGATCATACTGATTTTCAGTTTAAGACCTATCTGTTACCTAGTTTCTAATTAAATCAGTGTTTCACATGAGTTTTATATCCTTCTAGATTCATCAAGTACCAGGTCAAATATCTGGTATGCTACAGTGGCAACTATTAACTGCATCAGCCCAGTCTTTTGTTCATCACTGCTTAAGCACAGGCTTTAACATAGACTAATCAGCAAAAACTAACTCCCAAATGACCATGTAATTTAATTCTCTATCAAGAGGGTTCTGCATCAGTCACCCCATCTTTTTTCTTAGGAATAGTGATAAATGGGTAGGCCTACATTGCCATAACATCAGACACCTGGATCTTCACCGGTGTTTAAAACATGACCAGCAATCATTGTTCATATTAAGAGAGCTCCTTTATCAGCCCTGTCCAAACTGGGGTTGCTGGGTACTGACAACTGATATAAAAGCTTTAGCAGATGTGACTCAACACTCCCCTGAGCCCTGCTGGAGTGGAAAGGATTTATTACACAATTAGCATATTAATGCTTTCCTGCTTTTTCCCAAATACAGAATATAGTATTGGCCATTTCTGCCTTTTTTTTTTTTTTTAGTTGATTTCCATAATTTCTGCCTATTCACTTTGGTACGATCTCTTTTCTTCCTCCTGTGTTTCAAAAATGCGTTGCTGTTGTCTGCAAGACTGTAGACCATATACTGGTCCCTTGGTCCATTTGCTTTCTTATCTTTGTAAGATAGGCTTTACTGTAATAGGCTGCCTTCTAATTTGTATTCATTATTACCAATTTCTCCTTTCTCCCATTTGTTATATAATTTTTATACTTCTGTCATTTTCTGTCTAAGCCAAACTGATTTTCCAAGCCAAATAACTCTTTCTGTAGTGGGCTTTTTCAGTGCTCTTAAACAGTATACAGTCTACCTGCTTAAATTCTTCCTTGCAGATATTTGATTCAGAATTGGTTAGAGCTTATGAAATTAGCCCTGTAGAAGTACTATCTATATTTAAAGTGTTTGATATCACTTTGGAATGCAATCCACTAGCAAAAATGTTCCAAAATACTTTTAACCCCAGTGGAGAGATAAGTTATATGGAATGAAAAATTAAGAGCCTTTTCCAATTTTGAATTAATGAGCCCACAGCTAGAACATTGTATATAGTTCAGAGTACATCCATACCAGACATCTGACACCTGAAAAGACTTGGGGGAGAAAAAAAATATCAATCAGGGCTGAGAGCATTTTTGAAGAGTGCTTTAAATAACGAAATGCTTTTAACTGACAAGTGGAAAAGGAGAGGAATCAAACAAGTGCCTAGATGTATTTCTAGGGAGATACATTGTTTGTAGGGTTTAAGTAGAAGATGGGGAAGAAGAAAGACAGAGAAAAAAAAAATACTGAGATATATTGGATGAGGGGGCAGGGAGTTGCTCGGTTCATTTAGACTGAACCAAGACTTTATATGCCACTTATATATGGAACAGTTTTTCTTGGGCATGGAGGACGATGAGCAAATAGATATTCCATCTCTTATCTTGGTCTGTCCCTTTTTTTTTATTCCTATTTTGCCCTTTAAAAGCATTGGTTATTCAGGCAGCTAAGCTAATCGAGGTGGCTTGAACCCTCAGCACTGCTTGTCTGGATTGTGGGGGGGGGGTTGTGAGATTCATGTACTATATCGAGAGTAGGGAGCATAGATAGTCTCCCATAGGGTACGTTTTCCTGGATTGGACATTGCTCATTTAATTCTATGACAGACCCTTACAAGATCGCACCCTTCAGTGCACTCTGCACCAGGTGTGCTTTGTACCCACAAATGCATATTCTTGGAGATTTCCAATAGACAGGCCAACTAGTCGTCGTTTCTAATTAATTAGTTACTAATCTGTAAGTTAATCTTAACAGCAAGCTCATACATTAATAACTATCTTAGTATCGATGCTAGCAAGCTTACAGTTACATCAGATTTAAAAGCTGTTTACAGATACTGGAATTAATAGAATCAGTAATAATAATTCATTGTATTTTGAAGTACCAATGATGTCATTTTTATGTAATAAAGGAGCCTATTCTATTCATTTTAAGAGTTTATATAACCTTCAAGGACAGGCACATCAACATTTGACAACTGGGGATTGACCATATTTTGTGTGCGCAGACCATGGTATGCTCACAAGCACAAACGAGAACAAAGCAGAAGACACCAGCCAGGGAAGAGGCGGCTGCCAGGCTGGGCAGCAGCTGTATTTGTAATGTAGCAGTGAAAGGAAAGAGCCATCCTTTCCACAGCTTTAAATTTGGACTACCTCCAGGAGCCCATAGCAGCAGGCAGATCTCAGCACCTCTCTTGCTTGTTGTACAGAAAGCTAGGGTCAAAAATCCTCCTTGAACGGGGAGGCAAACTGTGTGAGAACACCAGACCCTGCTGCCAATGTTTTGCAGCAGTGCAGCCCCAGGCCAGTTGAAAGACTGACACTTTGCTATCGTTCTCACATGTATTCTCCAACCGGGAAGCTTCCTCATGTATTCCCACCCTTGGCTGGCCTCTCACGACTTATTTACTGTAGTAACATCTGTCACAGACCAAACTCAGACAAGGTTGCCCCCAGCCTCCATATCCCTGACCAGTCCTTCCTTATCTGTCAGTATCAAGTCCATAGAGCACCTCACCTTGTCAACTCTTCCATCACCTGTGTGAGTGAGCTATCATCACTGCACTCCAGAAACCTCCTGGATTGCTTGTACCCTGCTGTGTTGCCCTTCCAGCAGGTGCTTAAAGTTCCTCTTGAGGACCAGGGCCACCTTCTGGTTACCTGAAGGTCTCCTCTACTTCTTCCTGATCAGGTAGCTTATAGTGGACAGCCACCGTAGCATCACGCATGTTGTTCTGCCCTCTAATCCTAGCCCATAAAGTCTCAGCTGGCTCATCGTCCATCCTAAGGCAGAGCTCCATGCATTCCTTCTGCTCTCTCACATAAAGGGCACCTCACCATCCTGGTTTGTCCTTCTTAAGGAGCCAGTATCCATCCATGGCAGCACTCCAGTCACATGAGCTATCCCACACTGCCTCCATGACCAAATGAGATCGTAGCCCTGCAACTGCACACAGACTTCCAATTCCTCCTGTTTGTTCCCATGCTGAGTGTATTACTATATAGACACTTTAGACAGGCACTCTCTCATACTGACTTCCCAGAAAAGGTATGAGAGCTTCCCCCATAATGCTGTTCTGTAGGCACTTCCTTATACGCATACATATGCTTGGGGGGAAGCTTCTGCCCTGTTTTCTTGTTTTCAAAGTCTTTCCTTGAAATCATGTCATCCCGCGCCCTTTGCTTACCAAACCAGTCCACCACTTCTACACTTAATGTGGATCATCATCTCTTCCCCTGATGCCCAATCACTCCCTCCTAGTTTAAAGCCCTCCTCAGCAGATTGGCCAGCGTGTTGGAAAAGATGCTTTTGCCCTACTTGGTCAGGTGGATCCCATCTTTTCTTAACAGTCCTGAGTCCTCAGAGAGGGTTCCATGGTCATAAAAGCTGAATCCTCTTTGTCAACACCAGCTGTGCAAACAACTGTTGACCTGCAGGATCTTTTCACTCCTCCTCAAGCCCTTCTTCCTCCCTGGGAAAATTGAGGAGAAAACCACCCGGGCCCCAAGATGTTGATCACCACCCCAGACCAATGTAGTAGTCGTGTTTGAAATGCTCCAGGTCTCCCCTGGCAGTATTGTTGGTGCCCATGTGGAAGAGCAGCAGTGATTAACAGTTTGAAGCTTGTCTCTCCACAACATCCTGGATCCAAGTCCCTGGTGAGCAGCAAACCTCCCTAGACAGCAGCCCAGGTCAGCAGGTAGGGGTCTCCATCCCACGCAGGAGGAAGTTTCCCTCTACTGTCAGTCACCTCCTCCTTGTGGTGCTCCTGTGTAGCTCAGGCTCAGCTGGCACGGAGGATTCACTGGCGAAAGCTCCCAATCCCTTGTCTGCTACCAGGGTACTGACTCTGTTCTGTAGCTGTAGATCTGCTGCTACAGATCCTCCGAAGCGTGCTGTCCTCTGCCTGCTACCTGCTGTCCCTCCTGCGAGGCTTGGCCACAAGGACACATAGCCCTAACACTGCAGCAATCATGGCCTTCGCTGTGGCAGCACCTTCTAGCTTCAGCCAATGGAAGGGAGGAAGGGAGGAAGGGAGGAAGGGAGGAAGGGAGGAAGGACGTCACTGCTGCTTTACTCCACAAAATGGCTGAAGCTGTTCCTTCCTGTGACAGTTATTGCGACATTTCCCCGGCCCACAGACAAGGTCCTCCATGGCAGTGGCACCCACCTCGCACAGCAGGGATCCCACCTCGCACAGCAGGGATCTCCCCTCCCACTGGGGCCAGCCTCCCCTGGCCTCTGATTTGGGGCTGAAGAGCCCCAGTGTGAGGTAACAGGGGGTGGGGCCAGTTGTGGTGTGAGGTAACAGGGAGTGGCAGGGGTGTGGCAGGGAGGAGCACAGGGGCTGGCCCTATAGGGAGGTGCCTGTGCAGGGCTACAGGTGTGGACAGGTGGTGGTGTGGGTTCCTGCTGGTTGCTCTGGTGTCTCGGCTGGCTTGAGGGTGGACTGTGGACTAACAGGGAGTGGCAGGGGTGTGGCAGGGAGGAGCACAGGGGCTGGCCCTATAGGGAGGTGCCTGTGCAGGGCTACAGGTGTGGACAGGTGGTGGTGTGGGTTCCTGCTGGTTGCTCTGGTGTCTCCCAGGATGGCTGGCTTGAGGGTGGACTTTGGCTTGCTCTTGGAGCCCCTGGGCTTCATTAAGGTCCTCGAGTGGGTGAGTGGGGCTGGGGAGGTACAGGGGGAAGCCTCATTTTCCTTGTGGGGCTGTTTCTTCTCCTTTCCTAGGCCTGGCTTTGCTCCTGTGTCTTAGCTGGGTAGGCCTGAAGAGGTGTATGCTAATGGGTTGCCTGTTCCCTGCTTCATGTTGCTGGTGGTGGATGTTCAACACAAGGCTGCTCTTCAGCCAAGCCCTCTGACTGGGAGGAAAGAAAACAGTTCTGCAGATACCTAAAATCTATGTGTTAATTACAAGTTTGCCATAGTAACTTGTGCTGCTGTGTGTTGTGTGGTCTAATTATTGGGTGTTTAGGGTTTTGCTAGTGAACAAAGGGAAAATGAGCTACTTAGAGAGTCAAGCTGATGCGCAATACTCTGAGTGTGTACCTTCTAGCTACTCTAATCTACAGTTGTGGATGTCTGAGACTCCTAAAAATACTTCCCTTACTAACTGCAAGAAGTACTGTGCTGGCTCTTAGCATTAAAAAAGGAAAAAACCCAAACAAACCAACCTTTTACTGTAGAGCTAAGAAAAATATAAACAAAAAGAACTTTTAAATGGGCTTTTGTTAGTGAAGTTGCTCATGTTTTTGGATTATAGAAACTCAACATTTTCATTACCTCTTGACATCACTTTATACTTTACCATTGCTAGTTTTGTTCCTATTTCTTGCCTTCGTTAGCTGTTTCAGCTAAATGTTGAGTTTTTCCTTTGAGCTCTAGTGGCATGTAGTAATATGTCTATGTATCAATTCCTACAGATTTTTTCCATCTTTGCTTTTGCCACATGTGGAGGCTTTCAAGGTGAAACTACCCTTCTAGTTTCCTGCAAAGGTGTGGTAAACAAAACAGTTACAGCTGTTTTTGCTTATCCATTCAGGTGAGTATTAGCTCTTAAGTTGTTTTTCATACACTAATTACTTATTATTCACTCTTTTCCCCATCTGTCTCCCTATGCATATGTACTTACTGTATATATCTGAATGAACATGTAAAACCTCTGGCTTGCTCTGTAGTAGCAATAAATTAGTTGTAATTGTTCAAAGTATTGTGTTTGTCAGTGCCCTATAGAAAGTAGAAGAAAATGGCAATAGGCTGTATTACTGCTTTGTATCACTTTACCTTAAGCTCTATTCTAGCAGTGCGTGAATGCTACAGAAGGTAATTAATAAGCAAAACAATACGATTAATTTTAACAGCCTATTTCTTCATCAATTTGTAGTTGCTTTGGAGGCCTGGGTAAGATTATTTTGGGTGTGCCATTATCGTATTTTTGTTTAAAGACTGAACGGAAAATACTTACTTTTCAGTTTATTCCAATTATATATTGGTGAGGGTGTTGGGTACGTATAAACTAAATACTCCACTGTCATTGTAGTGCTCTTGTAGAGACAAGTTCCTTTCCTGGGGCACGAGGAGGAAGGCTTCCTCTTTATTGTCACAGCTTCACAGTTACAACAAATGTAGAGTCGGTGTTCCATATGTGTTCAATAAGCATAGGTGTAAGTATAGAAATGGATTCAGAAGCCAGCTTGTTAAAACTACTACAGAAGTATAGAATTTGGTTACAAAACCCGGCATTGTAACAGCACTTGGAGGGGAGAGTGGGAATCTGAAATGATTCTGTGCTGGTCACTGCTAGTCACGCAGGTTTTATTGAATTTCCTGTGCTTGCATTTTCTTGTAGCTGTAATGCAACCAGGTGCCTTTTAAGTCTTGATCCCTTCATTTAACTGCCAGTCTCCAAAATAATGTTAAGTCTGCTTCCAGATCGGAGTTTCTTTCTTCAGTTGCTCTAAAGATAAGATTCTTCTCCTGAAGTTGCTATTGCATATCTCAGTGTAGGATGGGGAAAAATCTTCAGATATCTTGACAAATCTTTGTGTTGTATAACTGATACATTACTCTAAAAGACAATTTATATTTGTATAAACTTACACAACCAGAAAGCTGAAGCACTTATTGTGAAGCATGACTGTATGAAGTTTCCACTGTATAGCAAACTTTAACTACATCAAGGATATAATCTTTGCAGGTTGAATACTGTTGTATTTAGTGCACCAGACCCAAAACGCTGTGGTGGTACTTGGACTGACGTCTATCTTGTGGGCAACTTCTCCTCCTCTGCACAGTTCTTTGTTACACTTGCGGTGTTGGTGTTCCTCTACTGCATTGCTGCCCTTGTGGTATATGTTGGATATAAGCATGTGTATCAGCAAAATAGCAAGTTTCCATTAACTGTAAGTAATGCTAAGATATTTCAAAGTTTTTCCTTTGAAACCACAAAAGATGAGAAATACTGCTAACACAAGAATATCTGAATAACTTATGTACATTCAGTAGTTCCAAAAGTTAGATGGAGCATAAACACAAGTATCTCAGACTAGTCACTACAGCACTCAAGCAGAAAAGGGGACCCAAAGCCCTTGAACATCCATGGCATCATTCCTTATGCAGTTATTGAAGCAGAGTGGAATGAAGTTCCACCTTCTCAGGTGAGCAGTGTCTTCACCACAACTTTTCTTTTGTGTTGTGTATTTGAATATACAACTGTGCCATAAGTGGAACCTCCTCTGTTAGTCTCTAGGAATTTTCCCTGTGTAGAGCACCTGCTGTGCAGATGCAATTGGCAGAGGGAAATAGTTACTTATCTTGTGAATTTTAGTCACCTTAAATACCAAAGCCCTGATCCTCAGAATGAGAAGTCTCAGAACATGCCCAGAAACAGACCTAGCAACCTTTCAAGCCAAGTTTTAGCATATCAGCCATCCAGATTTAAATCCTCTACCCTGTCACCCCCACTTTTCTAAACTTAAACTTTTATAACAAAGTGCTAGGCATCTGATTTTAGAAACTAATTTCTTAAAAAAGGAAGATTGCTTATGCTTGATAGATGCAAAAGGCATACAGTTTTGTATCTGATTATCAACACAGAATATAACTTGTGTTTGTAACTGCAACATTGTTAATGGCTAAACTTGCTTGTGATCATTAGCACTGATGCAGTTATTTTGATGATATAATTAATACTGTCTCTGCCCTGCTCTCTTATGCACATTCATGCAAATTTTTTTAACCTAATAACGAGTACTTCTCTTCTGTAGGACCTGGCTATCACTGTCATAACAGCCTTTCTGTGGCTGGTCAGTACTTTTGTTTGGGCAAAGGCACTTGCTGACATCAAAATGTCCACAGGGGCCAGCATTATTCCGGGAATTGAATCTTGCAAAGCACCAGGAACAACTTGTCGTTTTGCTTCTGTGACCAGCATGGGAACTCTGAATGTGTCTGTGGTATGTATGCCTTCCACCACAGGGGTACAATAAATGTGTTATAAAATAGCCAAGGCACCTGAGAGCCCTGTTCTACTGATTGCATGTGTTGCTTTGTGTTAAGATTGCTTTATGGGTTATCAGTCTCTCAGGCCCATTAATACTGTGGTAAAACACCAACCAAATTTTTTTCTTTAGAAGGAAACTTGTTTCTTCAAAGAAATTAAGAGAAACAACTTGTAGGATCTGTCTCTAGAGCTGTTAGATGCAGCATTTCCAGACACATTTGCATCTCTATTTCTGTTTGTAGCCAAGAGCACCTTAAAATATGTTACTGGGCCACCCAAGTGGTTTGTTGACGCTTCCTGCTCTGTCTTTTGGTGTTGAACCTAGCTTTTTAATCAACTGTGAGCATTTTTACACATCAAGTAGAGGTTCCTTGTAATACAATGATATAAAGCCCATGTTCTTAGAAAGAATTTTTCACAGCAGGGCCAATGAGGCTTATTGTATGATCTTCCTAGTGAATCCTGCTTTTCAAAACTCTGGCTGTTATTCATTGGCCCAGTAATAATTAATCATGTGCTCTGGATGTGCATATGCAGAGGTGCTGAGTGACTGAAAATAATTTGTCTAATTACATGCAAAGGACAGAGTAAGTTGACTATCTGACTTCCAAAGAAGTCTGTTAAAACAGCTTGCAATACTCTAAAGCATGTGGAAATGTCTTGTCCAAATCAAAGGGGTGCCAAAGATAGTGGTTGTTTCTGGCTTGCCTTGAAGTCGTATTCTGATTTAAAAAAAAAAAAACACAACAAATAAAAAACCTCAATCTCACCTTTTTTCTTAACCTACAGGTGTTTGGCTTGCTTAATATGGTTTTATGGGGAGGAAATATTTGGTTTGTATATAAGGACATCAACCTTCACAACCAATCAAACAGAATTTCTTAAAGTCCAGGAATATATCCAACTCAAAGAGGAATATAAAAACAAGATGATACTTTGAAGTGCTTCCACTTTGACATCACACTGCCAAGAGCATGGAGCCCTTAGGATTTATTTCAATAATAATAGATAATACTTCATACAAACTTCTGGTTTGTACTATGGTTTGACATAAGGTCTTAGATACTCCAATTGAAGTGTTTGATTATCTTGAAATATATCTTTTGAAGTTGTGCAGCTTTTTGTTACAGTTTTTGAAGAGCAAAATGTTGAGGTTATCTGGATGCTGACCCTTTCAGGTTCTTGAATTAGCCTCACAGGAGGGATGGGTAAGAAGCAACTGCATTTGGGTTATTACTGCAACTTCTTTAGTTCTAACAAGCCTTGGCTGAAAAATGAAATGTAAATGCAACAAGGACATGTGAAAATGCAGTTCAGCTTCTTCCTATCACTGATACCTTGCAAAAGCTTTCTGAGTAGAACTCATAGCTCTGTTTAGAGTTGCAGCTGTCACATGTAGGTTTCCAGATATTCCATTCAGATTACTGTATCAAATCTGCTGACAGGCCTGTCTGGAAGGACATTACATCTGTGTTTAATATGTTGTTACTATTTAATGGCTTGGGACAATCTCTGAACAAGAAGACAGCTTATAGTTTCACTAGAAAATCATTTAACAAAGATGAGAGTGTGTATATGTGTGCAATAGATGACTTAAACACTTGAGGGGGGGGAAGTAAAGCATGGCCCGCAACTCTTACAAATACTGTAGAAATCAAAGCTAATATATTCCAACTGCTAGTGTCTGGGCTCCTATGAATTCCTTTTGAGGTGCATGAACAATGCTTGTGTGTGAAAGGATATAACTGGAGATGTCTGAATAGGACTGTCTTCATTGATGTTGTTCATCTTATTCATTGGGAGCAATATTTGGTTCTTCTCATGTGGACTTCTTTATTAAGATATCTGACACTGTGAATTGCTCAATGTTTTGACAAATCTAAGAAACAAGCTGTTCAGGTTTTTTTGGATTTGTTTAAACTGTTTGTGATGAAAATAGACATAATAGCGTGTATATAACAATCCTAATTGTTCAGTGTGCCAGAGCTACTAGCTTTCTGATAGTATACTTCCAGTCCAAAGTGTATAATAAAATGAGTGTTGCTGAAAGAATGTGCCTTGAGTCCTTACTGCTCTAACAGTGATGCAAATGTATTGGCCTTGTAGCTTCTGGGACATGGCTTTAGCTATCGCTGACCTTGCTCATTGAATGAGTTATCTGTGCTACAGAAGGGTTCTTACACTGATGCCTTGAGTTTTTTGTAGAGAGCACTATCTGTCACTCCTGCAGACTAAAGCTGCCTGGTGCTGCCCAGCACTTCTTTCTGTCAGTCCAAAGTGGGGGCTTTTATTACTTGTAACTGTCCAAAATTTCACTTTTGGAAAGTGAAAAGAAAGAATTTTCTTTTGGAAGAGGTAAGAAGTGCAATGTTCAGGTATCTGCTTCTAAAAGCATGCTCTTCTGTTTCTTCCCTGTTCCTGGATAAGGGATTTGAAAACAATGAGCTTCTGCTGTTTCCTGTTTAACAATACTAGCTGTGTTACTGCCGCAAGAAGAGAGGCCTGCTTTTTCTCAGTGGTTACTCAAGTACCAAGTATTATCCACCTTACAAAGGCCTCTTGAGGGAAGATAAGAGAAAAGCAGTACGTGGTTCCAACTCTTGCATCAAAAGTGTGGCACTCAAAATCATAATGTAGTCTTCTCAGGACCTTCCCTCTGTGTCCTGGACCTTCTGCAACCCAAGGGGCAATTCTCAGCAGGAGAAGACTGGGGCGTAGGGTTTAGGAAGGACAATATCATTCCTGCATTCAGAAGTGAGATATGAAACCGGTTACTTCTATTATGGGTTAGTTTGGGGGTTTTTTTGATAGCAACATTGGGCTATGGTCCAAAGAGCTGATGAAACTGCCAAATGGTTTTGACAATGCAATGTTTTTTAGCTTCACACTCAAAGGTCTTTTAAGCAGATTGATGTTAACGCAGTGATTGACCCAGCCCTCTCCGCATCCTTGCTTGGGTAGACGTTATATGCGAGTGGGCCCAGGCACATGCATTCTTCTAGTAGTCCCGTGCTGTTTGCACTTCCTTTACCATCAAAAAATGGATTATGGCTGGGTAGTCTTCTGTCATCTCAGTGGTCTGAACCGGGTCTTGAAGCTTCACTGGAAGTATTGATGATAAAAGATGAGTGTGATCTTTTCTTTCATCTCTGCTAACAGGCCCTACCCAGCAGAATTGCACTGAGCTATAAATGTAGTGTGATTCTTGTGGAAAGGCTGCGTATATAGCAATTACAATGCTTTGGTGTTAGCTAACATAGAATACAAAGCTTCTATTGAAATTTAAAGTACTGAGTCAGATAGTTGATTATAAATATAAGGAGGTGTTATTTTGAAGTGCTTTTGTGCTAGCTGTTCTCCTTCCTCTCAAGAACCCCTGCTGACAATGACTTTTGTGGTGTCCTTTCTGACCGCTTGCATCAGTTCCATGTTCCAAATACTAACTTTAAACCTTAAATCTTCATTCCTCCTTGAAGTGAGTTCATGTATTACCTAACGCTGCCCTGAACTGACAGTTGTCACAGAGGGCTTGATTTGTAATGTTATATCTATATCACTATGAATAGTTGGGAAGAGAGGGACAGAGAAGAGTTGCAGAAAGAAAATTACTTTGTTGTTGCACATAGGACTCTTCCTTTCTTTTCTTTTTTTCTTTTTTTGGCAAGTCAAAACTATTGGACCTTCTCTGTTGCTCTCTTCCTAACAGAATTATAGATACCTGAGATAAAAAGCTCTGTGCTATTTCATCATGGTGAGCTATGATAGGATCACTGGTACAAGGTTATGAAAATCAGTATCTACATGTTCTGGTAATTCTATTACTATATTTTAAATTTCAAAGCTAGACTTGAAGCAAACTATTATTTGTCATCTGATCAAAGTTAGCACTGCTTTGAGCAAGAGGTTGAACCAAGTTTTTTTCAGAGGTCCCTTCTTTGTAATGTTCGGGGGGGGGGTTTTGTGTTGTTTCTTTTTCCTAACACCTGATGGGCCATTGTTTGCTTTTGCCCCCTGTTTTTTTGTCTTTTAGCCAGAGGCTCTGTTTGCATCATTGTGCATGCTTATTTCAGGATGAAATACATATTTTATATCTAAAATGTCCATGAATTTTTTTATATTGCCTAAGGAAAAAAACCCTGCTAACTATAGATTAATAAAGTTTTTCAATCTCAATTCTTTGGGATTTAAGGTTACACATGATGTGGCTAAAACACTTTTTATTAACCTTAATATTTTTAACAAAACTATGTTCCTGTCTATTTAGTATGTGCTTATCTACCAACTGAAGCTCCAGTTCTGTGACAAACTGACTTTGTCACAAATAGCCCTGTTGGAGTCATTGGGATGGCTTAGTTATAAAACGGTAACTGTGTGTATTTTTGAACACATGAGAGCAGGAATGGATTAGATCAGTATATGCCTCATTGATGGCTAAGCTCTAGCCGACAACTGAAACTGAGTTGGAAAGGTTAGCACACTCTGATTGTTTCAACAAAAACTTAAATTTCATATGCACTCAAAGAGGCATTCCTGTTTTCCATAGGGCTGAAACTTTCTCTTACACGTTTTGTAGATGAAACAAGTGCATCCCATCCCCAGAGTGCTTTCCTTCAGAAGACAGGGAGACCAAATATGGCATGCAGGACTATAGCTAGTAAAATATAGATCAACAGATATGTGTCTATGTTTTGTAGAAATTAAAGCTGCATGTGCGTGTGTTCTACACAGCTAAATGTTAACAGTGTCCTGGCTCTGCAGGCTAAGGTGAGCGTGATGTGTAGTCAACAGCAAGCAAGTTTTTAAAAAGGAAAAATAACCATATGTCCCCTTCTGGTTCATTAGGGTAAGACTTGTTTTCCTTCGTAAGGGGGAGGGACTGATACAGAATACTGCTAGCTTTGATGTCTGCTAGAGTCCTGCAGCTGAGATGAAACAGAAAGCATAGTGCAGCAGGAGCAAGCAGCTGCTCTCATTTACCCTGGACAGCTGCAAAGGGCTGAGCAGCCTTTGCCTTTGAATTGACATCACATTCATGCTGGCAGCACCGAAATACTCAGTGTCTTATTTACTCATAAGAGCAGAAAAAAAAAAAAGACTCTTTGATTTACCGGCTTTATCTTGACTGCACCAGAATCACCATTGCTATCAGGAGATGCAGCACACTTGATCCCTCTGTATTGAGGGAACAAAGGGCCTGGAAATCTGCCAGGCTCTATAGGTAAGGTATCCTCAGCTGGCAGCAATCTCTCCTGCAGCCATCAATGGAGCAAGCTCATGAAAATCCTCTCGCACTGCATGAATTCTTCTGATAGCAGGCTATAGTTATGCAGCTCTAGCGAGTGAAATGAAGTATGATGCATGGTGCAATACTAGAGAGAAGAATTGTGATCAGAAACCCACGGCAGGAAGAAAGACTGGATGGTGGCAGTGAAGGAAAATGAAGCTGCAGGGTCAATATGGGATAGTAATAGGGAACTCCATGGCAGATAATAGAAACCCATCAGCATTAGCAGGTGTTTAAGGAACCAAGTAATTTGTGGTTTAGGGTGCTGTGACCAGTGATCTGAGGGTCAGGACTGTGTGACAATGCTGAGAAATGTACATACTGGTTGAGTGGTTAAACATTGGAACAGGCTGCCCAGGGAAGTGGTTGAGTCACCATCCCTGTAAGTATTTAAAAGACGAGTAGATGAGGCACTTAGGGACGTGGTTTAGTGGGCATGGTGGTGTTGAGTTGATGGTTGGACTCAATGATCTTAGAGGTCTTTTCCAACCTTAATGACTCTATGATTCTATGATACTGTGTGTGCTTACTCCCAGAAGAGTCCCTGCCATGGGAGCTAGCATGGTGTCAGTGGTGGCTGAGAGCTTTGCCACCAACCTGGAGGAGAAGCCATAGGAACTCAAGCCCAAGAGAGATCTGACTGTCAAATCTCCAGAGGCTAGTGCAGGCAGTGCTGAATTGAGTCACGCCGGGATCTGTATCACTATGCCCACTATCACCCCAGTGAGCAAACCCATCTCAAACACAGGCTGGAGCCAGGACACTGAAATGCCAGCTGACAGACCAGCAGTATTAGTAGCTTACATTGTACTAGAGCTAAGCAGTGTTGTGATGTGCAGTGAATTCATCAGGGCTCTGTCTCTGCTTGCACACCTCCTATTGCTAGCAGCAGAAGGTGTGGGTGTGTAGCTCTCACTGAAGGCCAAAAAGAGGATGGGTGCCTTCTTGATGTGAAGAGCTGTAAGACTGTGGATTCATCACCTGCTTGAGGATACAGGGTAGCTACAGACTGTATTTTCCCCTATGCCCTAGAACTGAGCAGCATGTAAGGCTGGGGAACTTGGCCGTGCTGTGCTGCACCGTGCTGGTTTGGCTGCCTGCCCTGCTGCAAACTCTTGGGGAGCTGGTAGCGTATCTCACTCTTGGAAACTGTCTAAAGATAATCCCTGATGCTTTCACAAATGCCTGACTCTTGAGCAAGTCATGACTGCACATCAGACATTCTGGATCACCCTGGATCATCTACTTTTATTCTTGTGGCAGTATTTAGGAAGTGTTCATTCCTAGCAGATTTGCTGTATAGCCTAAAGCAAAGTTGTTGTCACAAAGTCAGAGGCTGGTTTTTGCTGCTTAGTCACCTTTAAATATTAACCTGAATAATGAAATTATTCAAAAGAATGTTACAGCATAGGAGTGCATTCTTCCCCCCCCCCCTTAAATATTAGTGAATGAGGCAGTTTCTTTCAAGGTTAAGATCAAGTCTGTGTATGCTAGCCCCCCTTAATAGTGAATGAGGCAGTTTCTTTCAAGGTTAAGATCAAGTCTGTGTATGCTAGCAACAGTTATTCAGAGTTGTATTTTAGAGCCTGACTCAAATGTGGAATTCCCTTTTCTGGCATGTCAGGTGAACCCAGGTGTGCCCTTAATAATACAGCCCTCCTATGGACACTCAGTATTTAGAGCAGGGAAAAAGAAATAAAAATTTCTGACTTGTGTTTTTAGAAGCTTTATTTATACTTTTCACTTGCAACTACCAAAAACGTGCCTGTGCTTGGTAGTACTTTTCTTGTCTGGATATTTCATTCTTCTTCTTGAGTCAGGAAGGCAGCAATATAGAGCTAGGTTGTGCTATCCTTAAAGTTTGTGCCCATATGGATGCAGTCAGTTTTGCCCTTCATTTCAGGGCAAGCACTCTAGGGCCTAGAGAAATCTGTGCTGACCCTGACCATATTTTTCTTGCATTCTTTCCTTAAGAAAATCTGCCTCAGCCAGACCCTGTTCTCTGCTATCCATGTCTTCAGTTACTGTTTCACTGTGGATCCTGCTTGGCCAATACAGGAACTTCCCCCTTTTTTTTTCCTCCTGGACCAAACCCATAATACTTGGTAACATTTCAGAATATTTTTCTAGCTGATTCTAGGTAGGTTCCCTCTTGTTCTGCTACACCAGCACTTGTTGCAAATAGTGGGGGTGTATTTGGGCAGCCAGTTCTCATAATCTGTCCCCTGTTCAAGAAACCTGATTGATTGCTGTTGCTGCCAGGAGGGCTGCAGGTACCTGCAGGTGCAGCATCAGCAACGGGTGGTTTGTACTTGGTATTACATCCTGCCAATATCTGAGCAATTCCTCATTTATTCATAAAATGTGCTCTGTCTTTTCTTGGCTTGTGACTTAATGTTAGTGCTGCCAGCTGCATTTTCTTCTTACCTGTCTGTTCAGCAATTTGACTTAACGCAGTCATCAAGGAGGCTGTATACTGATCCTTTACTCACAATCTGAGTAAAAGCTGGTGTTAGCACAAGCTCTAATCAATTTGCCCATTTAATTTCAATTCAAAATTTGAAGTAGTATCTTAAAGGTCCACACTCTAGTCCACAGCTGTGCTTGCTTTCTGTGGCCCAAGACCAGCAGCTATCTGTCCCAAGTCCCTCGGCTCATTTCCTGTCTTGTAAAGCAGCAGTAGTCTTACCTGCTGCACCCCCTGCCTTGGGATGGTAATCTATCCATTGGTATACATGCTGCTGTTCCCAGCTCCTTTTTCTTTTCCCATTTATACATATCATCCCCTAAATCATCTTCCTCCGGTGACTTCAAATCTAATTCTCCACCACTTTCTGCAGATACAGCAGCTATTTTTAATTTTTGCATCCTGATCTGCTTTTGCAAGCATCTAATTTTAGCTTCACGTTTAATACGATCAGGTTCCCTTGGAGCTCTCCTTTGCTCTAGGGCAAATGGCTGCACTGTGCATGTTAATCCTTCTACTGGATTCTGCCGTTCTCTTCTTCTGTGGCTTTTCTTTCGCTTTTTCTGAACTGAAAATACTGTGTTCCATTATTACCTTTTTGAGCCACTAGACTGTACTACTTTTCAAGTTTCTTAGTATTTTCTTTTAAAACACAGTTTTCAGATCAAAGCAGTTTTCTGCTTTTACTCTGGCTCTATCAGCACAAAATGTTTTAGCTGCTTCCACAACAGTCACAGTAATACAGGAATTTTATCCTCAAATTTCACTTCATAAGCTCTACAATAAGTAGAGAACGATTATTCTATATCATCCCTGGTCCTATGGACTGAAATGAAACATCCCTTCTTCCACAGAGAGGTGCCTGTAGCCTTGAAGATCTTGGGGGTTTTTTTGTTGATTCTTTTGTATTGCTCAGATCTTCAGCTAGAGCAGTTAGTAGCATTTGGGTGGCATTAGTGGCTTGTCAAGGTCACTTCCTGCAGTGACAAAAAGCTTGGTGTCTAGCTAAGAAACAGAAGACTTGGCAAACTGCAAAGGACACACACTAGCTAGCTAATGAAAAAACATTTTTTCTGGGTCCATGCAATATCCTACCCTGAACACAGCAAAAGGAGGCTATGATGCCTTCAGACTGAAATTGAACTATTCTTACACAAGAGTGTTGCATCTCAGGAGCCTTCCCCCGATCAAAGGGGCCAGCATTGCCTTTGGGCGCTTTACTGACCCAGTGTGCTTCTGGAACAAATCATGTTTACACCATGGAAACAGCCTGCAATCCAACCGAACATTTCACTTTGAGCTGGCCAGCAAGGAAGAGATCCCTGATCAGAAGCAGAAGAGGAGAGAAAAGGACACAATATGCTAATAGTGGATCCAAACCAGAAAAAGAGAGAGAGACAGTCCTTCAAGCTGCAAAAGCTCAGAGCTGAACTCAGGGTTATCGGAGGTTCCCAGTAGTGACTGTGGCATACAAGGCATCTTCACGACAAGCAATGACCTCAGGCACAGCACCAGCAGTACCCCTGGAGAGGACTCATGCAGAAATGGGCATGGTACTTGTAGGGTCTCTTCCCAGAAGATCATGAATGCAGGTAGATCAAGCAGTTATGGTTAGAGAAGAAAACAGTATGTGCCAGTAGAGGAGATGAGGGTGATTATTTTTAGCTTTAGTTTCCACAGAGACTGTGCATCAAAAGTAATGAGAAAGGACTGGCAGGCACAGGAGGCTGTGAGGTTTGCACTTAGCTCCATGAAGAGCATTTCTAGGATGAAGCTAGACCAAGAAATGAATTTCAGAAATGCATTGCAAAATCAAAAAAGCCAGAAGGCCCATATTACCATTTTGTCCTGAGGCCCTGAAAGCTCTTAATCGAGGAAGTAATTTAATTTTGAACTTTACTGCTTGGCTGTTTTTACATGTGGCCAATATGGGCGCTTCAGAGCTTTTAACCTTGCTGGAAATAGAGCAGGACTTCTGGAAACTTGGAAGATCTCTGCTTTCATCTTCAAGAACCATGAACCTATTCTCCTATGTGCTGTGCAGTTACTTGTATGGATCTACAGCAAGTGTAATAGGCCTTCAGTCTGGAATGACAGAGTTTTACCTGCCATACATCAGCGCTGGTGCCCCAAAATGGGCAGGACTGTGAAGGACCAGTCCCTTCAGGATGAATCCCCTAGGGGACCATTCGATTGCAACCACATGTCATAACCTACAGTTAGCAAAGCTGAAAGGACAGCGAATCTTCCATGCGAGAAGAGCCAGCAGAGTGATTACAGCTGAATTCTGGCTGGATGCACCCTGGGGCTGGCTGCTGCTTTATTTTACTAAGTGGGTAAGTTCATGCTCTTTTAACTCAGGGGGAAAAAGCTTCTGGTTCAGTGATGGGGCAGGACCTCTTCAGGAGCATGTAAGAACACGGTGTTGATTCAGCCCTGGCTGTGTGTGAGGAAATCCCTGGGAGCATCCACCTTTGTCCTGACTTACCTGTCAGAACAGCACTGAAATATTGGCTTGAAACGTCTGTCACTTCAGTTCTTCATTGATCATCTGAGCTGGCTCCCTCATGCCAAGCATGACAGGGATGGGGAGAAGGGATGAAAGGGTATAAGGTACCAGCTGCAGCTTTTCTGGCCCTGAAGGCTACACTAAAGCGGGTTAGCTGTCAGATGTCCCATGGAGACTATCCACCTAGTGCAGACAGCCAGGGAGTGTTACACGAATGCTCTGCTTGCTTCCCCCTTTCCTCTCATCCCTTCCAGAGCCAGTGGAGTAGGTAGGACCTCCGAAACACCACCTGGCATCAGGCAAAGTAGTTGGGCAAATTCCTCATTGAGCTTGATATATTGCTGTTGGACATTGTCAGGACTCTGGTCTCTCTGGACAGGCTCAGAAGTGCATGCTCAGCCACCTGGAGAGGCTTTTGGGGCAGTGATTGACTGTATGCTCTCACGTCTGTAAGGCCGTTCCAGAGCAAGTACATTAGACAGTTAGCCCCGGTTGCTGGCAGTCAATGGGGAAAGCTCAGCCTCCTCTGTAGATATCAGTGTGGTAATAGCGCTTGCATGAAGCAGCAAGACATGGTCAGGCTGGATATTGCAGGGAGGAGCGTTCAAGAAATTCAATGTGAAAATGGATTGGATCCGATTCCTTATGGCTTTGCTGTCCATGGCTGTGCAGAGAAATGCCAGAGCATCCTTCCCCGCCTGATAGTTGCACCCAGTCTGCACGGATATAAGAGAGTAGTCGATGAAGTACAGGAGCATCCATCCTGTGGCTTACGTAAGTAGTAAGGAAGGGTTCAATTCAGCGTGGTGAAGGGAAAAGATCAAAGAAAACAGAAAATAGGGCACTTGATCATTCCAGAAATGACATGGTATGCTCTGCAAGAAAATTAATCCTATAACAGGGTCATCACTTTCTTGATACGTCTACAGTGTTACGGTGTCTTAATGACCTGGCTTTTCTTCCCTTGTTTTTCTCCAATTTACTTGTTCTTTCTGCCTTTGCCCTCCTTCCTGGGCCCCAGCACAGGCCGGCCCCTTCCCTCCTCCTGCCCCTGGGCTGGCGGCAGCCGGGGGGCCGCGCCGCGCCCCCGGCGGGCGGGTACGGATAGATGTACAATTTCGCACCCGGGAGGAAAAGTAGTCTCTCGGCCCGGTTCCCCGCCTCTCCCGCCGGCCGAGACACAGGGGGTCAGTGTTGCTG